GGGGCCGGTGTCTGAAGACCGACCCCCCGAGGCAAAAAAAAGGCAAGTCAGCCTGATCAGACTCAAATATTCCTCTGTTCCGGAACTCAGGGTGTACGATTTACGGACATAAGAGGCCTAGGTGCAGGTTTGGGGTCTTATCTTGAAGCCTTTGTGCATGTTGCTGCAAGAAGGTCAGGGTCTCCCTGTAGCCTCAGACCCTAAAGCCTCAGACTAGAGCTCGCCTGAGCAAGAGTTCGAAATGGCTTCTGATGCATGGTCAGAACCTACGATGTTTTGGTCTTGCGGCGACTTCAACGGTACTGCTGCATGCTCCGCTTGATATATGAAGGCCTTCGGGAGAGGACGGCGTTAACACCGTCTCAAACCCCCAGTCGTCAGATGGCAAGAGCCCTTGTAAAGAGCCGGTGCAGACTTTACAGCAACAAGCAGGCAAAGCGAGTCCGCTGACAGCCTTGCAGCAAGTTACGCAAACGGCGTGCAAAAACTTGCAAAGGCCAAAGCCGGCGCAAAGCCGGCCAGATCAACTATCTGTCTGGATCATCAGAGAGTATGTCTTTTGAGTGTATGCAGATGTGCATACATAAATAAATATGTCTGTATGTATGTGTATGTGTGCGTATATATATATATATATGTATGTATGTATGTATGTATGTATGTATGCATGTGTATATATATATATATCAACTTATATACATATATATATATCAACTTTTATATATATATATATATAAGCGTATGTAGATGTGCATAGTGTAGGTAGATGGACTTCTGCATCAAAGCGTCGGGCCTGGCGTTTCCGGCCGGGAGGCGCGCCGGGGCCCTGCTGGGCGCTGCACAGCCTTCTCAGTAAGTTCATGGGTAGTTCTAAGTAGGGTTTAGGGAGTTTAGGGTTTAGGGTTTAGGGTTTAGGGTTTAGGGTTCCAAGTAAGGTTATACATCCCCAATATGGGTTATAACTATAGTTGCCCTACTTATAACCCCAGTTGTAACTACCCATGAACCTCCAAGCTTGCTTCGGATTGTCAAGGGGCTGGACTTGGTGGAAATGCCAACAAAAACATACACGAAGCTCTGCATACACATATATGTGCATGAAGCTATCTGCATAGATGTGTACATATTCTGTATATAGCTTCCCATCATATACATATGAATCTTTGTGTGTGTGGTTGTTAGAGTGTGGGTGTGTGTTAAGTAAGACATCAAAATCTAATGCTCCTCTACTCACGAATGTAATGCATGCAACATGTTAACTACCTGCAGAACCCTAAACCCTAAACCCTGAAGCCGTAAACTCCTAAACCCCGAAACCGTAAATACGCATTTCCATCCTCAATTCCTTAAGCTCTATGACCGTGGCAAAGATCTCAATAGTGCCGTTTCCATCATGCAAGCTATGAACACCGCTGAACCCCTGAACCCGCAAACCCCAAATCGCAAACCGACCGAAGCTGTCGGAAGACCTTAGCAAGCCCCTACAAGTGTTTATGAACCCTTTTACCTAAACCCCAAACCCTAAACCCTAAGCACTTTCTCATGGCAGCCTGGGCCAGCGGTGTGGCCACCGTCCGCGCGGCCGCCGGCGCCACGAGCGCCATGGCCCTCAAAGATGCGAGGCGGGGGAGAGGACTTAGGGTGACTTTAAGGGTTCCTCTAAAAGTAAAGGCTCCGAAAAGGACTCGGATAGAGGTTCCTAGAAGATGCAGGGCTCAGGTTCAGGGGTTCAGGGATTTAGGATTATACCTGTAGTCTCCATTGTAGTTCCTTTTTGGGGATACCTTATAAACTCCTTATTATATTTGGTTAAACCGAAAAAAGGAACTACAATGGAGACTCTAGGTATCTCATGGGTGGCGGAGAGAGCTTGAAACCGCCTGTGTTACCCAAACCCCGAAGGAAATTCATCCGGCTTGCTACGATCTGACTTGGGCACGGGTCCAAGACTCATGATTCGAGGTGCAACACTGGGATGGAATGACGAAGCTTTAACCACCAATCCTGCGCTGAATCGATTCGGCGTGGGTTGTGCGTCTACACTCCCGATAGACCGCTTGCAGGGACCGTCGGATACGATGGGCAATTGGGTGCGTTTCACGGTCTGGACATGCCTTCTGTCGGCTGGGTCTCGTTAAGGATGGGCTGTTCAGATGCCATCCGCGTCCATGGAACTACCGTTGGGAGCTGAGGGCATTACTTTCTGTTGCTTGGGGCGGTGGCGTCATCGATACGTATGTATCTTCACACCTATATATGTACGTATATACCTCTACATATACCTACATATGTATATATATATATATACATACATGTACAGCTTCTACATATGGAAACTGTATGCACCTACCTGAGCAAGCAAGAGATAGGTCCAGGCAGAGTTCAGACGCAGAGGCATCTAAACAACCGCTCAGGCAACCGGTCTCCCGCAGCCTCGACGGAAGGCAGAGCTGCGCGGCTATAAATAAGCCGAGAGGGCAAGGCTGCGAGAGGGAGAGGGCGACCGTTGTACAGCAGACTGCATCTAAAGTTGGGGTCCTCGGCCCTCCGGGGGTTTAGAGCCTTTCCGAAGGAGGCGGCGGGCTCAAGACTCCGATACTTGCAATGTGACCCGATGAATTGAAACACGGCGCCAGGGGCCTCAAAATACCTGAAAATCTACCGTCGCCTACGGCACGGTATGCAAAAACCCTAAACCCTAAACCGATCTGCTGAGGGTTTGTGGCAGCCCCCGGTCAAAAGAAGTCTCCTCCAGACGGAAGCATACTTGGAGGTTCATGGGTAGTTATAAGTGGGGTTATATGAGTAGGGTAACTATAGTATAAGGGTATGTATAAGGGGGATTTAGAATTTAGAACCCTACTTATAGCTACCCATGCACCTCCAAGTAGTCGATGGTAGCAGGATGGAGGTCTTTGGGAAAACTTCCTTGCAAAGCATCGAGGGAGTAGAGCAGCGATTCAACAGCAACCGAACGTCATCACTCTTGGGACGTGTAACCTCGATCCCAATGGCTTGAAGTGCTTGTGACCTTCAAACCGTAACTGAACAAACTCTTGAGTTACCTCAAACCTCGACGCCTTGTTGCTGTGCTTCCGCGACTGAACCCTGAACCCGCCCACCGAAGCAAAAACTGTCCTGCTATCCTGTCGTCCCGTCCACTGAGAAGCAAGCGACGTGCTTCTTCGAACAACTGTACAAGACAACAAGTCGTAGCCAATCAACACCCACTGTGAGATTCACACCCGAAGCCTCAACACAGCCCATGCTGATAGCAAGACTCCAAACTGATCATAGCGCAAGACTCAGTAGCAGCAAGAGTGAATCGTGAAGACCGATGAGTGTGTCATACAGTACCATTGTCCTATTCACCATCAACAGTTTCATCATCATCATCATCATCATTATCATCATTGCAGCTCCTCTTTTCTGCTCTTCCAGGTGAGCCCCTTTCAAAGGCAGGATTGCTGGCCGAGCCGTTCTCTTAGCAGAGGGACGGTGCCCAGACGAAGAGAGACGATATCTTGCGGGGTTCCAGTTCGGGAGGCGAGGATCGAGGCACAGAGTTTCGGGATTCAACAAATGCCAAAACCCGGGAATTACTGTTGATGATCTAAGGCCTGCGTTACCCACAATAAGGAATATATATATATATATATATATATATAATTATATATATATATACCATAAAACCCGTACTGTAGGGTCATTAAGGTAATACAGGATTTTTATATCATCAACAGTATGTAGTTCATACAAGACTTCTCCGTCCAGTCCCTGTAGCCAGAGCACCGGCTGCGGCTATGTACAAAGCAGTCCCAGACACTCGGAAGGCTTTGGGGGGTTGATCTCATCCTCTGATGCTGTCTTTGATGGTTAATACGGTTGATGATATAAAACCGGCATTACCCGTAATAAGGAATGTACTAGAATTCCCATAGTTTAGGGTCCTAAAGGTAATGCAGGATTTATCATCAACAGTAGGTCCTGAACCCTTTGCCCTGATAGGGTGTGCGGCTTGGCTTCGGCGGCTTGTATGCGAGCTTCAGAATCACCGAGACCCGTCAACGGACGAAGAGGTTGATGAAATCCTGCATGGGGGCCAGTACCCTCTCTGCAGTTCTTCCCTTAATTTTGTGCGGATATCGTCCAATCCGCAACCGAGCTGAAGTCTTCGACATTGCCTAGGAGCCCCCTCTCGGAGGTCTTGTTATATATCATTGTCGCATTTAGCACAGCTTAACCGCATCTACTGCTTCAGCTGCTGAACCTGGTACAATGATGAGCACTATCCGCCCTGGGGAAACCATACCCCTTCCTCCTGAAACGACTCTAACCAGCCACCAGCCCCAAGACCAGAAGCGAATACATCTAATCTATGGGGCCTTAATAGTTTTAATGGGGTTTTGAGGTATATTCTACAAAAATCTGAATAAGGAACCCCCCCCAAAAAAATAGTGGTAGCAATTATTTAGGCTCCTATATTTTCAATCTCAATAAGGAACCCCAAAATAGAGGCTCCTATGTTAGGCTCTAGACTTCAGAGGCTCAAGGGCTGCGAATTCCAAGAGACGGATTTCGTTTTTGTTCCGAGCCCTCTTCCGCCTTTCCAGATGCCCCTAAACGGCTTAGGGTTTTTGATCTTTGGGGGTTTAGGGGTTAGGGTTTTGGGGTGAAGGTTTCCGGCCCTAAACCCGAAACCAACTCTAAACCCTAGAACCCTAAAGCCCAAGGCGCACTACATGTGACTCGAATGGAAGTCCCTCTTACACCTACCCAGACAGAGGAAAAGCTCTATACTTCTTGGGCCTATTTCTCATGAAGTGATACTACTAAAGTGCGCTGCTTGTACCATTTACGGCTCCCACACTCCCACCCGAAACGCAGAACCGTCAGACAAACTTGATGGCATTCATAAAACCAATCCCGCCGATTCCTATACCGTTTGATCCGACACTCCAGCCCTCATCTCGTCCCCCACCTGGTCCATGACCATCTGCTTAGGGGTTGCGTCTCGCAGGTGGCAGGTGTACCTGCAAAGCGCGAGACTGAACAGCCCGCAGCGACAGCGCTCCGCGGGGCTACATTTCCAAGGGACTGATTGGGTTAGGTCTCTAGGCTGTAGCGGTCGAACGTTTAGGGTGGAAGGACGGATATTACGGGTTGAAGTTGAGAGTTTCGGTGATCAGGGTTTGCCGATTCACGAGTCAAAGCTTTCGATTGATTTCAGTATCAAGCTCATAGTCGTCTAGACGGCAGATGTACGTACTGAGAGCGCAAAATAGCTCGGCAGAGTACTATTGGAACAGGCGACCTTGCATCTCGAAGGTTTTATTCAGTCGTAGATATCTGAGTCTAGGCTACGAACACAATGCGATACTACCTGCAGCATCACTTAAACAGATGTGGTACTAGTGACAACAACCCTAAACCCTGCCCTGGCCCTCCGAACAACCAGAAGTTGGTGAGCTCCTGCTAGCGATGGGGCTGTAATACGTAACAGGAGTCATAAGTAGGCGGGCGATCGCTGCGATTGCGATAGGAGCCTGGTGTATTGCTTAGGTGGAGCCGTAAATAGCAACTGCCGAATGACGTTAGTAATGTATGTATGTATGTATGTATGTATGTATGTATGTATGTATGTATGATGCATGTATGTATGTATGTATGTATGTATGTATGCATGCATGTATGTATGAACAGATCGGTAGAAAGATAGATAGGTAGTTAGCTAGGTAGGTACATAGGTAGGAAAGCACGCAGATAAATACATTGTCAGACAGATAGACAGTAGATACTCATATAATACAAGGGGCTTAATAACTTCAATAGGGTTTTGGTGTAATTTTTCCTATGTTCATAATAAGAAACCCCCAAAATAGCATGGGTAATCATTTAGGCCCCCGCATTATCGTGCTCTGAGTATGTACCTGCGTCTGCCGCGAAGGGCGGGGGGGCACCAAACCTGCAGCCGCCGGACGAGGAAGTCGTTCCTGAGCTGAAATCAACGAAGAATCAGCATGCTGTCAGAATTCTGGAGGGTTTAGGGTTTAGGGTTGCCAATAAGGGCCTTACTACTACAGTACGACCACTACCACCACCATCACCACTACCACCACTACCACACTACCACCACGACCACCGCACCTACCACCACTACGACCACTTACCACCGCCACCACCACCACCACCAGTAAACTACCGCCGGCACCGCTACCACTCCCACTCCCACTGTCACTGCCACCGGCACCGGCACTGGCAGTGGCACTGCCACCACCGCCACAACCTCTTTGACGACGACGACGACGACGACGACTACTACTACTAGTTGTTTCGGCCCCTGCAAAATTTCCAAACTTGTATGCATGGGTTCAAGGATCTAGGAACGGGGTTCAGAAATTACGGCAGTTGATGGCTGAGTTTCTTACAGCACTCTGATTCGATGCAGATGCTTGGTGAGACCATCTTTGCAACGGTGTTTGAAACTCTAAACCCTAATCCCTAAACCCGTAGCACACCTAAAACACTGAAGCCTTAAACTCCAAACCAATGCGAGGATCCAGAGGGGCCCGAGATATCCGCTGGACCACTCCCCAGCCTTGGAAAAAAACGTGCCAGGAAGTCGTCGTAGCGTAGAGGTACGGTTGATGATATAGCTCCTGCATTACCCATAATAAGGAATAAATAAATAAATATATATATATATATATGTCCCATAATTCCCATAGTTTAGGGTCCTTAAGGTATTTGTAGGAGGTATATCATCAACAAGACTTGTAATTTGGTGACCGTGGGGTCTGGAGTCTGGGGTCTTTAGGAGTTTGGTAGGCTTCAGCCCAGAGGAACAAGGCTCAATTACTGCTGCCGTGGCTGGCAATGGGTCTTCAGGATTTTCGGTTCAGGGCTTGAGGTTTAGGGTTTAGGGCTGTGGAGTAGATTTGAAGTTCTGAATGGCTCTCGGGGTCAAGGGTTAGCCCAAAACTTGACAAGCTTAGATCTAGCGGCATGGGGTTCCCTCACCTTGTTACCGGTCTCTATAATCTGCAAAGCTTTGCGGCTGATGCTCGAAGGCTGCTTGGAACATCGCTCAAACTGGGCTGCCGGCGTAGGTGCGAACCATGCAGGTGACAAGGACCTTTCGCGGATGAGGTCTTTCGAGTTGAGGCGGCCGAGGGGGCAGGGACACAGCAGATTCCACAAACCCTCTGCAAACCTTGACCCTTAAAGCACCAAGCATAACCAACGGAACCCTAAACCCAAGAGCCTAAGGACTCCAAGAAGCAAGTCAACAGCGCGGTTACAACAGCAACGTTGCAGAAAGGTCCAAAGCCATGCCGGCACCGTAACCCTGCCGAACCCAATATTCCCCTGCAAGTGCGGTGACTTGATAATAGAAAGGGCTTCATCGTATAATTCAACGGGGAAATGCCTGGACTTTCTGAGTCGCAGAATCGGCTAGCAAGGCCTGGATGCCCATGCAGGACATAAAGCTGTTGGTGCCCATCACGAGGGCGCGGCCTGAAGGTTAACTCGGGCCAAATTAGCACTTCGAGCTTCGAGGGTTCTGGTGTAGAGTTTCGGGCTTGGGCTTGGGATTATCGGGCCCACGGTTCAAACTCCAAGTATCGCTTGCAGGGCAGAATCAAGCTTGATGGACCAGTTTGAAAGAATGGGTCATGGAGTCGGCAAGAATTCTCCCGAATACGAAAACGTGTCATGTTTCTCGGACATGCTCCGAAGCGACCAACAAGAAAAACACATGCGCCAAACTGTTGAGGCTTTGCAGGACAACAAGGCCATCCGAGGCGAGTATGCATGCAGATGAATCGGTCTCTTTTAGATCTGGCATTGCGTGGTTGTGGCACATCTATACGCTGCCAGCACGTCAGGTGTTGCTTCTCACAGACCGAAATGACCCGAAATGCATGTTCAATAACATTGCTTGGGTCATAGGACCTTTGCATGACTGCACGCGCACAATTCCCACATCAACTTTGGTATGGGCTTCCTTGCAGTAGGTTTACTTCCCCGTGTTCTGATTTGACCCTGCTCGAGGAACGTGCAGGTGTAGACATCAGCTCTATGTATATGTAACCTCGATGCTCAGAACCCGACACAGCGCTATTTGTAACATGAGGTTCGTGCGTTGCACGACACAGTAATTTAAGAATCACGAATGCACTGCCAAAGTTGAAGCAGCTCGACGTGGGGTGCGCGGGCGGTGCAAAAACGCGCATGCAACATCACCACGCGGAGGGTCTTGCCGGAAAGACGCTCCCAAGGATAGGGCTGCGTGGCGGTTTGCTTCAGTCTACGATGTTGAAAATACAAGACAATTTTCAGTATGTGCGGGCAGGGCAGGTACCTGTCGGTGTCTGGACGACAGCAGCGAAAGATATGAGCCATCTAATCTTCCTCCACGACCCTTAGCCCCAAAACCCAAAATCCTGAGACCGTTTAACACCAAAACCGTAAACCCGCAAAAATCCCTTGACCCCAAAACCCTAAACCGGCGAAGCCCCACACCCCGGGCCCAAAACCCTTAATTTCCCACCCCCTGAACTCTAAAAGGTTCCTTGTAAGGGTTCCGATACGCATTCCTGCAAGGGTTCCTGCACCAATTCCTGTATCCACAGCCCTCATCACGGCCCGCTGAAAATGTTTGCCAGGCAAGGGCTTCGGGCTCTAGGGCTTTAGGGCTCAGGGTTAAGGTCCCAGGATTCGGATTCTCGCAACATGTGTGCCTCAGGTCATGGCATAATCAAAGATGGTAAACCGGGTTTTGGGGGAGAATCCTCAGGACAACAGGCTTCTAGTGATAGGGGTGCTACTATCTCGGGATCGACGGACAGGATGACCCCCATTCCAGACAGCCAAGCTTCTCCCCTGGCCCTCCAACCGACACCCATCAAGACCCTAAGAGCCCAATGAACCCATTAAGCCCTAAATCTTAAAACCCGAAACCCTAAACCCATAAAGCCCTAAACCCAAATCCTTAAACCCTATAAGCCTGACTAAAACTTACCAAGAGCCCTAGGAGCGCTCTGAAAACCCCTGCGAGGCGCCCTCTTTGCCCCCGGCCGAAGCGGCTTTCTGGATCGAGGCCCAGCGCTGCAATCCAGAGCCGGGACTGGCAAGTGAGGGTAAAGAGGGCGTCAAGGGTTTAGGGTTTAGGGTTTAGGGTAGGGCCTAGGGTTTAGGGTTTAGGCTTTATGTTGTTTTTAATGTGTAGTGGCCCAGGTTTAGGGGTTTAGGGGTTTAGGGGCTTGGGGGTTTAGGGGTTTGGGGGCTTTAGGGGTTGAGGGTTATAGGGTTTAGGGTTTAGGGGTCAGTAGGGGTTAGTAGGGGTTAGTAGGGGTTAGTAGGGGTTAGTAGGGGTTAGTAGGGGTTAGTAGGGGTTAGTAGGAGTTTAGGGGTTAGTAGGAGTTTAGGGTTAGTAGGAGTTTAGGGTTTAGGGGTTTTAGGGGTTTGGGGGTTTAGGGGTTTAGGGGTTTTAGGGGTTTTAGGGTTTGGGGTTTTTTAGGGGGTTTAGGGTTTGGGGGTTTGGGGGTTTTAGGGTTTGGGGGTTTAGGGTTTGGGGGTTTTAGGGTTTAGGGTTTGGCGGGTTAGGGGTTTTAGGGTTTGGGGTTCTAGGGTTCATGGTTTAGGGTTTGGGGTTCTAGGGTTCAGGGTTGGGGGTTTCAAATCTGTAGGGAGTTCATAGCAAACGCCATTTTGCCTTAGATGCCTTTACAGTTTAGGAATGCTTAGGATATCGCCATGTCTGTGCAGAGTAAGGGTTTTGGAGTGCTTGGAAGGAAGGGTTGGGTATGGTTTGTTTGCCCTCCAGTCAAAAGCCAAACCATCGTTTGTGTATTGTAAGTTCCGGGTAGATCGGAGACATAAACCCTAAACCCTAAACCCTAAACCTCGTCTACTCCGCCAAGTATGCCTCCAGCTGCTACGACGGCCCTCCGAAGCAGCTCCAAGCCTTCGCAAAAAAGGACACTGACCTTCGGGTTTCGAATGCGAAATCCCTCAAAGCAGCAGGAAGGAGCAAGAGATTCAGTGAGATCCTTTCCTCTGAACCGGAAAGCCCTAAACCCCAAGGAAAAACAGGTGCAGATCTCCTTTACCAGGCCGGCTGCCACCGCCCAGAAAATCCTTCCGGCAGCTGGGCTTTTATTTTGGTTGGCTTTGGAGGGTGTTGCGGAATTTCTCCTGAGTGTGCAGGTTTCCGTTAGGTTTTGGGAAGGGCTTAGGCCGCAAGGGTTGAGGGTGCTTGGAATGCCTCAGCCTAGACGGGTTGAATTGTGTTTCTTTGCCAGGGGCCATGGACATCGATGGAAATTCCGAGTCGGGGCTCCGAAGATAATGTCTCCTCGCATGTTGTGTGCTTAAGCTCACTTCGGAAGCCCTGCAACTCGACAGCCTCAGACGCCCCTCGGGGCCGAGATCTGAAGCTCCTCGCGGCCACAAGGGCTCCCCACTTTGAGAGCACCCTGCCAAAAAAAGGGGGCGGAACAAACACCCTTAAGAGTCCAGGGATAGAGGATCAGGGCCGGCAGCAGGTGCGTCACTGAGATGACGAAGAAGACCTCCGGATAGCAAAGACGTGCACAACATGGCTATACTATCTGCCGAGCGGTTCCGCTTGACCTTCAAAGGCTGTGCGTGGGAACATGGTTATCTCTGCTTCATGCTGCTCATGGTACGAAATCCTGCATTACCCAAAAAGGACCCTAGACTATGGGAATTAGGGTATCTCTTCCTTACTATGGGGTAGTTTATCGGATTTATATCGCTTGCGCTTCGTTTTCCCGTGTAGGGTGCTAGGTCCCAGAAGAGCCATGCACTCACAGCAGTTTTGGTAATATAGTCGAGGCCGACACAACCCACACAAAAAAGTGGCACCGTTGAAACTAGCTTGGGTACTGCTCGTTGTGCATCTTGCTCTATTATATGCTCATATCATATAGGCACCTTGATGGGCTAGTGTGATTATACAGGGACTACAGTATATGATTATACAAGAACTATATGACTACTAGTATTAGTATTGCAATGAATATTCTTACCATTCTTACTATGATTATGATTGTTGCTCTTATGTCTATATGTGGGATGCGTCGATTCTTAAGCCGCTTTGTTGGTCCCGGAAACTGCTCAGCGGGGCACTCCGAGGGAGGAGAGGAATTGGAAGATGCAGACGAGCATGCCGGCCTCAAGACGCGATTGAGAGGAGCGGTTTTAAGGCGAATTTAGAGGTTTTGAAAGGGTTTTAGGGTTTGGGTTTTCTTTTGTGGGAGGGTTTAGGGGTTTAGGGTTAGACTGTCGCCTTGCAAAGTCCCTGGGAGTCCCTCCATAGTTGGACGGTCGGGATACCTTGTACTTTTTGCGGTTTGGGTTTTGAAAAAAGAAGCAATCGATTTCTGAGACTTAGCGTTGCCTGTGGGCTCGGCTGCAAGGGAACTCGGAAGCTCTAACTACTCCCTTCGACGACTGGGCATCCCAGTACTGGCAACTTGGAGGCTTAATCTAGCGGCCTTAATAATTAGA